TGGGCCCCGGGAGGCGGGGTGTGTCCGCGCGCAGGGACCCCGCAGCGCCGCCGCCGGTCCTGGCGTCCTGGGTGGGTCGCTGCGACCAGACCCGTGGCAGGAGCGTGACAAAGCGAAGAGTCGTCCTTTTTCAGGTGCGCTGGGATCGACCTGGGTACTTTCCAAAGGGGTCTCGAACTTGTATTCTGAACTCTTCGGCCGTTTGCTGCGGCTTCATTCTGGACCGGGATTTTAAGAGTCTTCGGCATGTTTGTGATTCTCGGAATATCTAAGTGTGAAATCGGCCAGATAACTTCGGCGAGAAGGGTCGTAGGGAGGGACTGTTTGGTAACGCCTTGTTTTGCTTTTGGAGGAGAGTGTTTACTCTGGAAAAAGGAATTCTTGGATCTGCAAATTCCGACTTGTGATTTCTGCAAATCCTGATTGGATTGGCCGCTCTTGGCATGCTCGTCCTATTTTCTTTTTTGCTGAGAAAGCCTTGTAATAGCGTATGCGCGCAGACACATCCCAAACATGCGTGGGTTCCAAGTGACAACCGCTATATGCCTGGTAGTTGCTGACAGTTTTTTTTTTTTTTTGAGTTTTGGATATGACTAATTTTATTCTAAACTAGTTGTCTTTTGTTTCTAGAGCATTTTATTCTAGAGTATCTGCGAACAAATGTCTTGTCCGTGAGAAACATAGGTTTAATTTAAAGCTATAGATATAGATATTACTCTCGAATAGTATATATTTTCTTTTTAGGGATTATTTTATTTTAAAGCAAAACTAGCAAAATTACACGTGGCGAGGACCTTAGCAGTAAGGGGGAATACTGCGTAAGGGGGATATTCAGAGATATTCAGAGTTAAAGTATACTAGAGAAATTTTGGAAGCGGATGTGGAAAGAAACAGTTAAAATGAATTTACAAATAGTTCAGACCGCTTTTTATAAACTCATACTGAAGCAGAATTTAACATGTATCTCGTTTTTTTGCTACGTTAACAGGAAGGTTTTGTAGAGCAACAAATTATCTCCTAGTTTTTTTTCCCTTAAAAGCTATTTATGAAACATCTGTTTAGTAAAGTTGTAATTCCAGACCTAACTACTTTTCAGATTATTACATATTATTTTACACCTGAAACAGACCCCCCTACAAAAGTATCCCAAATTTCTTCTCTTGGTTTTAATATTATATTCAAACATTCATAACTTTATGACATCATTTGGTAGCGATTACTATACATGACTGAAAATTAAGATGTGTAAATCATTGATAACTGTAAATTATTAAGTAGAACATTACTTTAACACAGAGGGTTTTATATAAATAAGCAAAAATCAAGCCATTCTTATGGATGTTGGGGAAAAAATGCACCTGACACACACACCCATCAACTTTTTCAATTACATTGTAACATCTGCCAAAATAAAAAAGAGAAAACCTTGGCTTTTCTTTATCCGTGATCCTGTAAAACATTTCATATCTTAGGGACAATTGAAAATTTTACTGTGAATTTGCTTAATCAGAGCTTAAGTTAATAATTAAGTTACATAGTGTAGTATCTATTGCCTTCAAGGCATAGTGAGGATACTACCATATTTGAACAGCCCCTAATACAAATATTTCTTTCCTCTACATTTATGCAGTATCTTGTTTCTTTATCTACACTACTTAATCTGTCCTGTTTCCAGTTACCATAATTTGATAATTTGTATATAAAATTCAAACCCACCACCTCATCTCATGAAAGGGTGTTTGCGTATTTTGTGTATATAACCACTGTTGGTTGGTTGATCAGGCAGTTGTCTGGTTAAAAGCTTATTTAAGATTCTCATTTCTTTTTCTTTTTCTTTCTTTTTTTTTCCATTTTGCTTCAGCTAGTTTATATCCCTGAATCAAAGAGCATTGAAAACTACTGCAGGTGGAGACCATATCTTTTTATAATATTTTCTATTTCCTTCTACAGTGTGGAGCTTTTAAGTACAGAAGGCACTCAGCAAGTGCTGTTAGTTAACACAGTGCTTTAGGTAGTTCGTTTTATTTTTTCCTCTTGCCTTCCTCTATCCCTTGTTTTTAACTTTTTGTTTTACTTTTCTGGCTATCTGGGGGATAACCAGAGCTCATAAAAACCAAAACCAAACACAAACAAACAAAAAACCAGACAGAGAAAACTGGTTGGATCCCTGTTAGAGAGACAGCTTTGTATGTAATTATAGCATGTCTATAATCTCCTTCAGGACAGCGATGGCTTAAGATTCGTCTTAGGTTTCTCACGATGCTCATTACGCTGCCTTGTACCCAGAGACGTAATGCATGTTTGTGGAATGGAATTCCAAGATGTGAAGTTTGGCAAGGCCTAGGGTAATAGCTAACTCTGTTCTCTAGCTCTACTATTTCCCAGCCCTGAGTGCCCATCACCTCTGGGGCTGAGATGCAGTCAGGAGAGCGGGACAGAGCAGAGGCTTGGGAGTGAGGAATCTGGGTTCCACTCCCAGCTTGGCCCATCGTAGTGTGAACCAAGGAATCCGCTGCTCCTCCCGAGGCCTGGGTCGTCTGCCAGGTGAGAGGGTTGAAGGCAGACTTTGCCCCAGCTTCGGCCGGGCCTCGCCGAGCGAATCATCTTCTGGGGCAGCCTCTAAGGAGAGGAAGAGGGAGTGGGGGGATCCGTATCAGGATTCAAGAAATAAAGAGATTTTGTCGACTCGTTTAGGGGAACAGTAAACCCAGCTTATTTAAAAATCCCCAGCTGCTGTTTGCCCCAAATTTGCCTCAGCCCAGAAGTTACCATTAACAGGTGTGGTTAAAAACGTTGTATAAGTAACGTATTTTGAGGTCCTGTGGCTCCAAATGGGACATCAAACAGTCCGCGCAACCCCTCCACCACCTGCAGGGCTCGAGCCGGCCCCTTTAAATGTTCCCTCGGAGAGCAGAGGGGCCTGTCCTATCCCAGCACTTCCGTTCGGAAACGCGGCCGCGGGCGAATGGTTCCGGCGCCTCCGAGGTTACCTGTTGCCTAGCAACGCAATGCTCTTCCTTGGGGAAGGACGCGGACAGAGCTGGAGTTTGAGTTCCACGGGTTGGCTTCATCGGCTTGCTGAACCCTGTCCGCCTCTCATTAACCCAGGATGGCGTTTAAGGCCTCGCGTGTCTCCTCTTCAGGGCCGCAGCCCTTCTTAGGTGAACGCCGCCTCTGTCGTTGTCCCCATCCAGGAGAGGAGCCGGCGCCACACTTTTCATAACTGCCACGGTTCTGGTGGTCACTCGGTAACGAGCATTTGCAGGGCGTTTTTTGATTTGTTTATAAATAAGTCAATTTGATGATGTAAATATTTATAAATTAGGAGGAGTTCTACAAATGCTTGTTGCGCAGGGCACCTCGTTTGAACCTCACGGCTGCCATTTGATAGAGGGGACTATTCCTCCCACTGGGGTTCAGGATAATTTGCTTAATGGGACTGGACCTCGAACCCAGCTCTTTTGGAGGGGTTTTGCACTTATCGCATTTAAGGACTAAAGAACTCTGACATTTAGAATATAGGGGAGACCAAAAGAGTTACCTATGAAAAAACAACATTTTATACAAAATAGGAAGAGAACCATCCATGCTAACTACTAAATTTGGGATTATGGTAGTGCTGGCCATTATCTCATTTAATCCTGAAGGTTGTCGTTATTACTATTTGTGGGATACAGCTAGGGGTGCAGTCTGACCCAGGGCCCAACACTCAGCCCTGATGATAAACTTTCCCAGTGCCTCCTGGTTAGTGGAGTGGGGAAGCTTGTTCTTTGGACACAGTTTCATAGATTTTTATTTTTAAAAGCAACGTCCAGAGTTGGCATTGCTTATGTAACTGGTGTTCCTCTTTCCTCAGCGCTGGTGTGGATGCTCCTTTTACCTGGCCTTTGGAGACTTGGTTGCTTTTTAATGGAGGCAGCAGCTGCAGGGTGAGCAGCCAGAGACTAGACAGCCCTTCCTCCCATCGTGAGGAGAGGGTCGCTTTCTTCTGGAGTCAGTCACCACCGCTGGATTGGTGGGGGTTCTTTTCCCTCTTTACACCCCCACTCTTGAAGGGAGAAGAAGATGCCGCTGCCGTTTGGATTGAAGCTGAAACGCACCCGGCGCTACACTGTGTCCAGCAAGAGCTGCCTCGTTGCCCGGATCCAGCTGCTCAATAACGAGTTTGTGGAGTTCACCCTGTCTGTGGAGAGCACTGGCCAGGAGAGCCTAGAGGCTGTGGCCCAGAGACTGGAGCTGCGGGAGGTAAGCCACCAAAGAGCTGCAAGCTTCTCTCACCTGGCTTCGCTCCTTACGTCCCAACCACTTTAACACATGTTGGTTGTGTGTTCTAGCCCAAAGGACTCTCAAAGCATGTACCTGACTGTGATGTCCGAGTTGAGCCTGCAAGCTTCCCTCCCCATGAGGAAGGAATAGATCAGAGCAAAAAGTCTTCCCTGGGGGTGCCACATAAGAGAATTAACAGTGCCTGAATTTTAAACATGTTTATGTTCCCCCAAAATGTAATCCAGAATCTAGTATGAATGCATTTTGGATTATCCAAGTTCCTTTTTTCTAGTATAACTCCAAATGGGTCATCCTGATCCCTAGTACAGTTTACTGACTTCATTTATTGATTTAACATTCACTGACAGTTTTCCAGAGGTCAGGTTAAGATTCTAGAGTCATATTGCTTGAGTTTCAATTCTGGTTTCCTCACCAACTAGTTGTGTAAGCTTGGGCAAATTATTTGAATCTCTGAGCCCAAGTTCTCCCATCTGAACCCTAGGGGTAAACAATGTGCTTACTTCTCAGAGTAGATGTGTGATTTAATGGGCATGTAAAGGCATTCGCTCTAACAACTAGTCTGTTATAGTACTCGTAAGGAGGTTTGCCCTGGGAAACCCCTAATCTAGTCGGTAGAAAGTTGTAGAGTCCTCGCATGGCCACATAATGTCTTCAACTTAAATTGCTATGTAAAGCCTGTGAAGAAAGGGCTTGATTAAAACCTAGGACCCTCCTGCCTTCGGTTGCCTGGTCCTGGGGCAAGAGAAAGATGGAGAAACTGGTTATTCTGCTTAAATGCCCATGTTATTTTTCTAACTGGAAGTCCCACAGTGATATTGTAGATGCCCTGGTGACCATCCAATCATTTGATCGTTCAGTATTGAAGACCTGTGTCAAGTACATACATACTAAGAGCTCACCCTAGTGTTGATACCAAAAAGAAAACAGGTATGATGCATGATATGCTAGGGGAAGTAGAGGGTGCTATAGGCCATAGGAGAGGCAGCAAAGGGAAAGCCTCCCCTTGCAAGTGATGTTTCAGCTGCAACCTGCAGAATGGGGAAAAGGGGTTCTATCAGGGGCGGGAAAAGGCTGTTCTGACAAAGGGAACTGCACAAGGCTCAAGATATGGGGGTAGCTGATCTGCCTGAAGCCTGGAGAGTGGGGAGGAAAGGCTGACATTAGGGGCCACCTAATGTGGGGTTTTTGTTAAAGGATTTGGACTCATCCTCAGGGTAGTAGGGAAGTTAGTGAAGGGGCTTTTTATTTTTTAATTTTTTTTTGGTTTTGTTTTGGTGGCTGGCCTGTATAGAGATCATACCCTGGACCTTGCTGTTATCAGGATCATGCTCTAACCAACTAAGCTAACCAGCCAGACCAGTGAAGGGTTTTTAAACAGAGATGTGGTATGATTTTGCAAAGTGTGAGCCCTCTTGTGTACGATTGGAGAGGAATAGTTCAGGTGCAGATGGTCGCCACCAGGATTTGGATGGGGATGGAGAGCAGTGGGTGGAATCTGGAGATATTCAAGACCTACCTACCAAGTATTGGGGAAGGACTAGCAAGGGGTCCAGGTTAATACTCAGGTTTTCAGTAGATGGTGGGGGCTAAACTGAGAGAAGAAACATAAAAGGAAGAGTAGATTTATCGGGGGTAAGGAGAAGCATGGTGAGTTCAGTTTTGGAAGGAAATACTGAGTTTGAGGTGCCAGTTGGAGATGTGGACCAGACAGGTGGATATGCTGGTCTGGAGCTCAGGCAAGGGATCCAGGCTGAAGGAAGAGATTTAGGAATCATGAGCGTAGGTGAGTTAAAGCCAGGAGAAGGGTAGGAGGCTGTTCAGGGGAGAAAAGACATAGCAGACCCCTCAGTGTTGAATAGTTGAGGGGAGAGCCATGGAAGGATACTGAGATGGAGCAGACCAGGAAGGAGAAAGTAAACCAGGAGAGTGGGCCTCAGGGACCGATCCTGCTTACTTGCATTTATTCTATCTTTTTTGTGTCCTTCACCTATCTTTCCTTTTTTCCTATTTCGGTTTCTTTTTCCTGTAAATTTCTTCCTTATGCACCAGTCTGCTTACAACTTCTAGAGAATCAGCTTCTTGAGGAACTGTGGTTTATTTATTTATGTACTCAGAGTACCAGGCATGGAATGTGTTCAGTAAATATAGGTTGAACTGACCTAGTGGCATTGCTTTCCTTCTCTGTTAGTCAAGAAGTTCAGAGAAGTTGCCATCCCTTATTAAAAGGGATCAGTCTCAGAGAAAAAGCAGTTTCATACAGGTGTGGGTCTGTTATGAGTCTGCTTTTTAACAGAAGAGCAGAGTGCTTTGACAGGGAACAGGTGTGTTCTCTAGAAAATGTCTTGCCTTGAAGAGACAGTCTCACTATTTCCAGCATTTAACAGCAGTCATGCTTAGAAAGTTTGTAAAGCAGACTTTTCCTTTGAAAGCTCCAGAAGCTCTATTCTGTAGCATGCAAACAGATGGCTCAAGCGTCAGGCCTAATCTTACCAAATGACTGTTCAGAAATAATCTGAGCAGAGTAACACCTGTTCCTAGTTTGTGTACATACAGCACATCTGTGATTTATACCAAGAAATATGGATATGTTGGTATCTTGCACTATTCTTCTACCAAGAAAACCTAAAATTATCATAGCGTGTAGATTTGGCTTAGAGGCTTTGCTCTTGCCCAAATATAAATTGGGAGTAGAAAGTCTTTACTCTTTTTGTTTAATTAAATACCATTTCATTTCCATGACAATTATAAGGGCTACACAATAATACCATTGTAATGCTACACACAGGGGCTTCAACTTTATCTGTAGTATTTTATTTCTTAAGCTGGGTATGTGGGTATATGGTATTTGGTTTGTTTGTTTTTAGCTTTCATATATATTTTTTTTTTTTTAAAGATGACCGGTATGGGGATCTTAACCCTTGACTTGGTGTTGTCATCACCACGCTCAGCCAGTGAGCAAACCGGCCATCCCTATATGGGATCCGAACCCGGGGCCTTGGTGTTATCAGCACCGCACTCTACCGAGTGAGCCACGGGCCGGCCTAGCTTTCATATTTTTACAAATATCTGAGATATTTATTACTTAAGAAATTAAAAACAAAAGGGTTAATATACGTGTATCCAATTTAGTTAACTTAGACTGTTAACGTTTTTCCAAACACACTGAATTTGAACTATAGGAAGTGACTTTTAAGAATGGGAAAGCAAATTATTTCCTTAGGAAAATAGTGCTGTTCATTATAGCAGTCTCAAAGATGTTGAAATTCTCTATTATTCATTCTGAGTTTCACAACATTTTTTCAAGAGAGGTTGTAAGAGTCTTTATGGAATTTAAGGAGAATTAGAAAACTTTCTCTCAACTTTGAAAGTATATGTTATAGAGGTTTGAAAGAGGTGGTGAGACAGAGGATCTCATCTGGACAGGACTACCCCATGGGGCAGTATCTCTTTGATAGAATCAGCACAGTCTGGAGTCCCTTGGTCAGGCTTAAAAATATAACATCATGGGGAGGAAGACCTGTGTTGCCTTAGTTCATCGAGAATGATGTGTAAAATCAAGACACAAGTTCAGTAATTTATAATGTGACATGGAATTGCAAAGGGCCCTAAGTATGTGTGCCCTCTGACCAGGCCATGATCTCCCTGTAAACAGGCCACATGGGAGCCAGAGCAAACCAGATGTTGCTTGTTGAGCATGGAATCAGAAAAGAGGTGTTGCCTTGAAAAAGTTATGTATTTTCATAAGGGGACTAGGGCTACTTCCAGGGCCAGACAAGTGGTTAAGACTGTCTCCAGTAGAGTCAGGAACACCTGGGTTTTGATCCCAGTACTGCCACTTATTAAGTAATTATTAAATTACTTAATTTTCCAAGTCTACCAGTTTTTCCTCTGTAAACCAGGGATAATAATGGTATACTTGATGGTGTTTGTGAAGATTTAATGTTAAATGTAAAACATTAGCAGAGGACCTGATATTTGGAAAACTCTCAGTAAATGTTAGTCTTTGTTACCATTGTTGTTGTTGATATTATTATTATTATTATTTGTGGCTCCCATATCCACATTGTGGTGACTGACCAAACTCTCTTCAGAAGAACTCTTTTCTTACTTTTGTAAATATTATTCTTTCTTCCATTTACTGAGAGAATACATGCTTGTTTATAAAATGTTCTTAAGAGTGGCACTGGATTAACACCCCTTGCACATTACTAAACTTAAAAAATGTTAGTATGCCATCATATTTTAGCAGTCATATTTGAGTCTCTGTTTCCATGTCAGCTGAAAAAAATTAATTTGTACAATACCACTACCCATTGCCCTCATAAAAGAGAGCTTCAGTTGGGTTTTAGTTCTCTGTTAGCCAGTTTTCCTCCCTCTTGCCTCAACCCACTCCCTAAGAATTTTTAAAAAATGGTTTTATGAAATTTTGGGTTAAGATTTTTATGTTTTTCTTTAGAGTAAGTCTTTTTCAGGAACCCTTCTTCAGTATTAGATATTATAATCACATTTTTATTTTTATTTTTATTTTTTTATTTTTATTTATTTTTTTCCTTTTTTGTCTTTTTTTGTGACCGGCAACGGATTGCAACCCTCAGTGTCGTGCCGGTACCGGACTGGGACCGGCAATGGGATTGCAATCCTCGGTGTTGCGCCCGCACCTCGCTCAGCCAGTGAGCCACCCGTCTGTATGTGGGATCCGAACCCTCGGCGGGAGCGCCACTGCGCTCCCAAGCGGCGCACTGTAGCAGTGCGCCACCGGGCCGGCCCCATAATCACATTTTTTAATCATGTCATCGTGGATTTTAATTAGATTCATTTCAAATTGTTATTTCTTGTATAGTCTGCTTTCCTTGAACTTAAGGTTTTTATTCAGCTTAAATTTACATTTGTTTGGAGTTTTAAAAAGTTTTTTAATCCTCAGTTAGGATATAGCGAAGTTTG